TCAACCATGGAAAAACTCTGATCGTCCCTGCGGCGATGACGACAACCGGTGGGTTCGCCTCCTCCTTTGTGGATCTGCTTGGTCAGCTCGCCCGCTGCGCCGAGGCCCGTGGTGTGTACCAGCCGGGGCTGGATGAGGCCTTTGTTCCTCGGTGGAAGGGTCGCTTTGCGGCGCTGGTCCATCAGATGAACGCTGACCACATCCAGCGCCACTTTGGCGGTGCCTGCCTGCGCTCGTCGTAGGTAGGCACCGTCTCGGGGGTCCCTCTGTGGGGATCCCTGTGTGCACCTGTTGCTCCCTAGGTGGTTCTCGTTGTGATCTTTTGATGGCTTGACTTGTATTTTTGTTTTAATTTTACTTTGATTTTGACTGTATTTGTGTGGTATTTTTGCTGAATTTTTGTAAAGTCCTTTGTATGATGACTTTTCTTTCTGTGGTCGGTTGCCTTTTCAACCCGACGCTGTCTCTTGTTGTATGTGAGCGTGCCGTGGTGTTTTTTATGTTTGTGCTGTGATGGCTTGTAGTTGTGATGTGTGACTGCCTTTTTATGTGTCTAGTGGTTCAAATGGCCGTATCTCTGGTTATACTTAGTCGTTTTTCATGATTTTTGTTTCCTTGTGCGTGATTCTTCGCGCTTGTACTTTTCGGCATGATAGAAGCCGATGAAAATGTCTTGTTCTCTTGTGTTGTTTTGCGTGCCGTTTTGATGTTGATGTCGGGGTTGCACAGCTTTGCTTTCAGCTCTGAGGTTCAAACACCTAATTTATTATCTGCCCGCGATGGCGAAGTGGCGTTTGGCCTGGCCTCCAATCGCCCTCTACCCCGGCTCCCGAGAGAGCCCGTGCACGAATCGCTCTCTCACGACTCTCGTTATCGTCATGGCTATTTGAGCTCTCTCGCACATGACGATAGAGCCACCACGCCCAGGCGCTCTCCCATGGAAGCAGTGGATGCATCCCAATTTGGTGTTGCCTTTGGCACCAATGCGCCACCACGGGCCGGCTCTCGGACTCAACCACCCCACCACGTTTGGCACCGAGCCTACCAAACCTCAACCAAGTGGGAGTCCTATCGCGGTGACAGCAAGAAAGGTCTTGACTCCCTCAAAGAAAATGTCAACTCGGCCCTTGTTCTTCTCCAAGCCGAGCCCTTGCTGCATATGGCCACCCTCGATCTAGAGGGCTGCACCGCCGCTGGTATCCAGGATATTTATGGCGACATTTCTTCCGACCTGGACTACCTCATCTACGTCAACGACATCATGGTTGACTGGATCTTACCGTGCTTGAGAGGTGACCTTGCCTCTCGTTTTCAGCGCGAAAAATCACGCCAACGCATCGTCTTGGGCGCCTGGTTCAAACAGATGGGCGCCCTCTTCCTCCAGACCACTCGTCACGACATTACCCAAGCCT